TATATATTTATATATATATATATATATTTATATATATATTAATGTATGCTTTGTTTGTGAAATGTAAATGCAATTTTTAAAATTTTTAATTTTTGTTTGACATTTACTTTGAATATTAGTGAGCAAACATTTGTTCACACGTTATTATTATAATTATTATTTTATTTACTTATTTTTTTTGTTAATTTGCAGTGTAATTATATTTGATTAGCCTACGCTTAAGCCAAACATTCTTTTTTATGATTTATGATTTAATTGCAAATATTTTACATAAGTTTTCCTATACCCATAGCTTAATTAACTTACATTTTGTATTGATTTAACTAAATACCCAATTTAGTTCAAATTGATTTTGTGTATAATTTTTGGAAAGTTTTTGTTGTTTTTTTTTTTGTAGTTGGCGCAACGAACTAAAATTTGGTTTAGTTTCGATGTTTCGTTTGGCGTCAGTTACTGTTATTTTAGATATTCCCATTCTCCTTTTTCTTTCCGCATTTTTTTTTTTAATTTTCTCGTATTTTGTTTATTTATATTTACTGATCAAATATTCTTTAGTGTATCATGCTCATTGGCATTCAATATTTAACTTTAATTTGTGGTGTTGTTTTCTCCAGTGAATTGCAAGATATTTTCTTTATCGTAGTTTGCCTTTTTTTGACATTTTTGTTCTTGGTTTTTCTAAGTTAAAAATCTCGTTGCTAAAATTTATAATTAATCATAATCTCGATTTGTGTTCTGTTTTCTTTTGTTTATTTTCTTTTTTTTTTTTTTAATATTTCTTGTTGTATTAATGAATTCATATTGGAATTGAAAATTTGTTTGTAAAATGTACACAAGAATGCAACGGAAGCGCTTAATTCTAACGGCACCTAGCAGTTAATACACAAAATATACACACATACATATGCATACACATATATACACATATATATTATTACATGGTACATCTGTTTATCGAAATTTGTGTATGGTAAGTACTTAAGTACATGTGTAATTTAAAAAGTACAACTAGATTTATTAACTTAGTAGTTTACACATTTGATTTCCGTTTCCTCAGTCACAAACATACATACACATACATATATAGCTATACGCACACATACAAATTACTATATATATGTATATATATGTATATGCTATATCATAAAAATGATGCAATCAAAACGTTTTCGTATGCACTTTATACAATTTAAATATATATAATAGTGTGTGTGTGTGTGTGTATGTATGCATGTGTGAGTGTGTGTGTGTGCATCCGCATGAGTGTTTGTCGGTGAGTAAATATTTTACTTGCATTTTATTTATATATGCAGTTACTTTATGAGCATTTCCATTAAATCGAGTCCAAAAAAATTAATTTAAATAATTTAATATTTAATCAAATAGTACAGACCTTAATAAATAACAAAATATTGATCGATTTCTTAAATTTCATTTATTTTACTTCTAAAACATCTTTAAGCACTCTCTTAATGACTTGATGCAAATTGTGAAAATTTATTACAACAGTTACGAAATGAATATGAAGTGCTTAACCGATAGTTATCGATAGGACAGGATAAGGATTGGCATGGAATGCGTTGAGATGTTGATTGCTTTATTTATGTGCATTTTGTTGTGTTGTTTTTTTTCTGTTGTTGAAACCTTTTATTCATTGCACTTATAAGAAAAATTGTTTTCATAGACTCGTTTTATTTTTGCTCTTAATTTTTTTTTTTATTGGCAACTCAACGCAAAGCTGTGAATGTGTTGATCTTATGTACAAGACGTAGTTGTTGAATGTCGTGCTTTGGGCGATGGAGGAAGCTAAAAGATTCTAAAGTCGTGTGGCTTCTATTGTCAGGTACTTAATAAGTTGTGAAAACTAATAGAATAGGCTGGAGAGAGATAGAAAGAGAGAGAGGGATGGAGTGCGCTCAAAAGTATGCAATGAAAATTTAGGCGAGTTCAGTGAATTGCCGTGCAGTGCATGTGGATGTATGTATGTATGTGTGTGTGTGCCAGTGTTTCTCTATGCGTATTTCGGCTTAAGTAGAATTAATATTTTGGTTTTTGCATTCATCAGCTCCACTTGCCAGTGCGCTTCCAATTGTTTGATTTAGCAAATACGCAGACTTTGTTTCTTGTTCTTGTTGTGTTTGCTACAATAGACGACCTTTGATTGGAAGACATCCGATTTTATGTTTTTGAATCTCAGGGTCAAGCCGCATATATATATCAAATACCTATTATTTTATTATTATTATTATTATTTTTTTTTTTAATATTTAACTTGTTTAATATATTTTGTTAATAGCTATTTCTTTCGTTTAACTAATTATTTTTATTGTAATTGCTAAGTGTGGCTCCAAAAATTGCATAAAATGAAACACTTTGTGGTTGAGAGCACCCTTTCCTTCTCAAAGCTGTTCATTCAATTCACTGACGAATCCCATAACTCAACTATTAGGAACCAGTTCCCCGACTGGAAAGGGCACTTCATCTGCATCAAAACAGTGCAATTCTCTAAATGGTTTGTGTTGTCTAGCAATCTGTGTACATGAATTCGTTGTCTGCTGTGTTTACTGTACTCAAATCAAGTGTACCTGAAATAAATTCTTGTTGCTGTCGAATATCGTATCGTGCGATGTTGGTCTCGTGACAATAATATAGCTATTATATGGAAAAATTTGATCTAAGTTTGGAATCTGAGCCTATTTTTTTCTTTTTGTCGCTTAACTAGTTTCTTATAAATGTGTGTGTGTGTGTGTGAATGTTTAAATGTGAGTGGAAGTGTGAATATTGACTAACGTTGATATATACAGTTAATGAATATGTTTTAATATATTATAGCTAATGGTTGCATTAAGTTTGAAGACTTAAACCGCAATGTTAACTTCGAGCCCCGTTTTGCAATGTCTGAATTATCATACGAGTATCTTACTTGGCTAGTCGTTTCATTTGAAGTGTGTGAAGCCGAGATACACACATTCCGAACATTCATACATTTATATATGTACCATATTAGTATATTTGTATATCTGCAGATATATGAATATTATTTAATCATTTATTTTCTTCATTTTTTTTTTTTTTTTTTGCATTTTCTTTTGTCTTAATTGTGGCAGTATTTTAATTACATTTTTTACTTTTAATCGCTTTGCTTGCAGTGCTCAAAACTATTCCGGGTAGTTTCTTTTTTTTTTTACATTTCCGTAATTTCCATAATAACTAATTTGTATATTTTGGAATTTTTTCGATTTTTTGTTTTTCACATGAAGCACACTAAACATTTAGCTAGAGCCTGAAACATTAAACTAAAACTAAACGCGTTTTAAAAAGGCGAATTCAAAATGTTTGACATTACTAGCATAATTTTCGGCTTACAATTTTAATTAATTTTGTGAGTTTTTTGTTTTTTTTTTTTTATTTTTGCATTGTTGTTTGTAAATTTAATTTTAAATATTATTAATTTAGTACATACATAAATATGATTTAATGTGCAAATGAACTGTACAATTATGAATTTGAGGTGTACTAACCGACTAACTGACTGACTGACTGAGTGACTGATTGATTGAATGACCGATTGATTGCTTGCGTGTATGCATGCAGCTGTGCACATACACACGCACACACACACATACACACAAGCCAGTTTGATTATAACCTAAAAACACAACCAATGAGAGCATATACACGTCTATGTATTTGACTTTATCGAATCGCCTTCGATTTTCATAGTTGGTACGTTTTCGTTATAGTTGTATTATTATTTATTTATTTATTTAAATATTTATGTTTTTAGTTCTCTATGTTTTTCTTTTTTTTGTTTATGTTTTGCTTTAGCGTGTCGATTTTCCCAAGTGAAACAATTTACAAAAATGTTTGTTTGAAATTTAATTTTCAATTTTGTTTGACTCTTTCTTTCGTTTTATTCGTCTTTTGTTTTGAATCGTTTGCATTCCTTGCATTGGCTTTGACTTACACAAACAACCTTGCAAAGCCGAATAATAGTTGTTGCTATACACAATTCAGATTTGATTTTAATTCAAATATGCGATTTACGTTATTTAGTATAGTTTATTCACAGAAAAGTTACGCCATTTACTTGTCATTAGTTTATGCTTTTTCTATATTTTTTCGATTTATTTATAATTAATATATTTATTTTGTTGATTGTCTAAAACTATAACAAAAATTTGCTTAGCTTAAGTCTGCTTTGCCTTGCCCTAATTAAATTTGTAAATTCCCTTGGAACTAAGTGAAGCTGAATGTGCCTGAATTAAGGAATAATTTTAGTTTTCTTTGCATTTAAGCAACAACGTAGGCAGAAATCATTGCAAAATAAATGTGGGTGAATGAATGGAATAAAGCAAGCGGATCTTATGCATACAGGAAATAGACTTTACAAAAACATATACATACGAGTTTCATAATTACAAGTGTTTTAATTAATTCCATGAATTTTTTACTATTTACATACGAACTGATTTGTATCTAATTTTTTGAAGTTTTAGAACAAACAATCAAATAAATCATGTTTGCCTATAATTACATATTATTATTTATTATTATTTTTGATATTAGCCAATATACTTTTCTCTGTGAATAAGTTGAACGCAGCTTTCTTTCCTCTGTTGTCGATCATTGATCTATGTATAAATATTTCGTTTTGAGATTTCTGATTTTACGGTTTAGTTATTTGGTTCTAAGTACAACATATACGCTGTGCTTAGATTTTGCATATAAATATTTATGTAGTTAGATGTGTATGCGTATGCACATATATATATTTACTATATATATTCGTTATGTGGGTGTATAAATATTTTTTTTTCAGACTTTTTAATTATATGCTTTTCAAAACGGAAGTCGAGACAGTTGTCAAATAGTTGTTTTTTTTTTCGCTCATTCTGTTTGGCATTTTCATTTTTTGTTAATTTGTTGATTTATTTATTTTATTTTTGTTTTTGTTTTTTTTTTTTTTTTTTTTGGTTTTCATTTTTTAGTGCTTCTGGGATTTTAACTTTATAAGCTCAGTTGAATACGTTTAATATTTGATGTAATTATTCAATGTACAATTATCATATTTTATTATTATGGCCTGTCTGTGGTTGAATGTCTCTCTGTGTATGCATATGTGTGTGTATGTATGTTTGTTTAAATGCTTATGCAATTTTTTGTTTATTAATAATAAATTTATTTATGATATTTTTTTTTATTTAAATAACATTTATTTACGTTTAGTTAATAGCTAAATATTTAAAAAATGTTAACTGTTGATTTTTATGCACTTTACATTTTAACACACCAAAATGGTGCAGCTATTTAAATGTTAATTTATTTAAATTACGTTTTACATGTGTATGTGTGTTCGTTAACTGTGTTTCTTGCACTTGCTCATATTTGTTTTACATGCGTACTGGGTGCTACGCTATTCGTTTATGTATCTGCCTGCATCTTATCCAAATTCCTCTAGTCCATTCAATTCAGTTTAATATTAATAATTTATTCTTACAGCTTGGAATGAAAATGTCTGCAAACACTTAAACACTTCAATGCCAACAGCTCTCTAATAGTCTCTCAACACATTGCCAATTATGGCTGCAATGACAAATAATTGTGCAAAATCATTGCATACCATAACAAATACATACATGCTTACACACATATTTAAATGCGAATTTGTGTGTACATTTGTGCGGGCTTTGTTGTCGTACTGACACATTTGTTGGCTTGGAAAACTATTTTAATTAATACACATTCACAAATGTTGAATATTTTCGAAGTGGAATTTTAATTAAACTTTTGCCCCCATCTGCACGCACAAAATCCCCGACGAGAGTTAAGTCAACGTCAGCGGGAACAACAGCAAAACGAATATAACAATTATAAACAGCAAAAGAGCCTGACAATCCTGCGCTGCAGTTGAGTTGTGGCGGCATTCCTTGCTAATAGCTTCAGCAGTTTTCATTTATGGTTTTTGCCTCATTCGTTTGCATGCAAGTTATGCAAATTTTCGGTGTACTTTTCGAATTTTTTATATTAACTTTCAAACACCCACACTCATGCAAATTGCATTCCTCACTTAATTTGTTGCATACCCTGCGGAGCTTGCCAACGCCCAATGGCATTTGCGTTGTTAATATTTTGCCTGTTGTTGTTGCTGCTGTTGCTGTTGCTGCTGCTGCTGCTGTTGCTGCTGTTGATGTAGCGGGAAAAACTTTAGCAAAATCAATTAAAAATGCAAATAAAAGAAACCTTGCGGCAAGTTTCGTTTGCTCTGGCATTTCAATTGAAGGTGTTTCTTTGTGTATTGCACTCTGCCAAGGCTATAACAGTGCCCAGCTCTTCAGCTCTCCAGCTCCACACAGATCCCGCCAGCACTTCAGCTGCAGGCAATTAAAAAGTTTTTAAATTGAATCTCCTAATATTTAAGATGCAAAGCATCTGCAAAATTGAATAAAAAGCAATGTGCAACCTGTCAGAGGATGACTAGCTTAATCAATGGATTTCATATTTCAAATACAGCAGCAGGATGTGTTCAAAGACTACACAAACGAATAGCGTAAATTACTCTAACAAAGTGTCAAATATAGTGTCGTATTTTCTTGCAGATTTGATTTGGGTTTTCATTTATTTCCTCTATTTGTATTTAATTTGTTTTTCCCCTTGCAATTAACTTTAGTTATTGAATTTGAATTGTCTTAAATTTGTTGTGAGTTTAAACAATGTTTTCGTATATATATATATGTGTATGTCCCATACATTTGCTTGTTATATATACTTACAATATACATACGTATGGTTGTATGTGTGTGAGTGTGTATGTGTGTGTGTGTGTGTATCTCTTGTAGTAAAAATGTGTTAGTTTAAAAATTTGATGTTGTCTTATTCAACATTTGTAACTAAATTTATTTCAGAATTTCGCGCTTCATTTGACCAAGTCGCCGGCTGGCTGAACTTTTTGGTTTGGTTTTGCTAATATTACTTTTGGTTGGCTTAAAACTTATGTAGCTTAGCTAAGACTAATTAAGACTTAGTTGCTAATTATGTTTACATCATTACATAATTTAGTCACTTATCAGTTAGGTATTACTTACGCTAAAACCAGTTTCAAACTTGATGCATTTCGCCAACTCGCATTAGCTAAGTTTTATTCATATTTTGGTAAAAATTACGCGAAAAATATGCACAAATAGATAAATAATTAAAATTGATTACGATAACACTTTCAAACACACGCATACAAACACACTGAACACATGCAGTCAATTTTGTTTTTATTCGTATATATTTTTTGTTTTCTTTTATTCATTTCTTATGCTTTTTGTTTTTGCTTGAATTTAAAATGCCGTTTTAAAACATTTTGTTATGTGTGTTTTGTTGTTGTTGTTGTTGTTCTATTTTGTGAAACTTTAGAACTAAAAATCAACAAGGAACTTTTTGGCGCTCAAAAATACAATACAAATTACAAAACGTTTACTTTACTTTTGTTTTTGTTAATTTTTTTGTTTTATTTTATTTAATTTTTTATTTTTTTACAATTCTGGCTGCTACATGACGCAACACTGCACAACCATCCAACACTGACATACGTTCATACATAAAATATGATCCTTCACGCACACATCCATCAAAAACTTAATAGCTAAGCCCTTAGCTTTGCCAGCCATGGAGGGCTGTCGTGTCAGTGTCATTTACGTGTGTATGTCAAAGTCGATCTTGCAACACAGTTATTGACGTGATTAGCGTTACGCAACACTACAATACTTGCCTTCCTTTACTTTACATACATGTTTTGATCAACTGCTCGTAAACTCGCAATCGCAATCGCAATCGTTCGATTGTATTTGGTTTTATTTATTTTTAATTTAGTTTTGTTTGTCTTCAATTTCCAATGTTCGCATCGCTTCGCTGCTTACAATGGGCTCCATGAGCTGGTTATCGTTGCGTTATCGTTATCGGTATCGCTGTTGGCAATGTTGGCAAGAACACTATTGCTGCTGATACTGCTCTGGTTGCTGCTGCTAGTGTTGAACAACACCGATGAGACGCTCATGGTCTGGCTCATTGTATATTATCCACGATCATCATCGCGAGCGGCGAACAGGGTTCGCAACGAGCTGACGATTAAATTCCACCAGCCCGCTGCGAACCCAAGTGGTCGCTATAAGGAGTTATCACTGCCCATTTTGAGCAGCTCGAACTTCTTCTTGGCTATTTTCGAGTATAGTATATCAATCGGCTGCGATTGATCGTACAAGCTGGGCGCTTGCAATATAATTAGCGCTGTGCCGACAACGCAAGCGATTGCGAAAATCCACAGAAACATACGATCCAATACCATGGCCACATATTTCCAGTCCTCCTCAACCTGCCAAAGAAAGTAAATAATGTTGAAAATATATTAAGTATACGCATAAGAATCATTGAAGAGGAGTATCACGGGAAAAGGGTAGCTAGCTTATGTAATCCGTCTGTTTTTCCATCTCTAAATTAATCAAACTGATCTGAGTTGAAGCTTTTCCAGCTCAAGTCTGATTCAAATCACCGAAACTGAAGAGGCTAAATATTAGTGTATACTCTATACACTATTACATACAATCATATAGTTAAAGACCCTTCATTTATATATAATTTTTCGTATTTAAATTTCTATTAAAGAATTAATTAAATGTATTTTGGTTTGCAAAGCCAACGTCCACAATGCTGCCACAACACTTTACAAAAGCTTTTCAGATGCGCTTTACCAAATCTATTTCAATTTCGTTATTGATTCGAAATTTGCGCTGCATAAGTTGAACCCAAACAGAGTTGATTCAGGGCAGGGCATTGCCTGGCTGTGGCCACAATGATTGGCAAACTTGCTCTCTGAATCCAGAATGGTGCTTTCCGATTGCACGCTGCCAACCATTTGAGCACAAACAACTCAATCACTCAGCCCGAATTCAGTTCAACGTGACGATGCGCCCGATCTGCCCTCTGTCCTCGCCGTTTTTCCCATTTCCCCGTTCGCACTCGCTCCCCGGGTCCACTATTTACAATTTTTGATTAGAGAAATGCAAGCAACGTGATTCGAGCGGCTGCATGGCTCGCTGACTAATGCGGGTTATCAGGAGCCGGCTTAAACACGTCGCGACCCCGCCAGTCCGATATGCCGATATGCCGACTGACTGATTCGTGGTCTGATACTGGTCTGGCCAATGTTTGCAATGGGCGTGGCGAAAACTCAATAATATTGCGCGCCAGCATTTTGTGACGTAATATCGATTTCAATACATCCCATCTGCCCGTTTCCATTTCACGCTTTTGAATGCAAAGTGTATTACGTAAAAGCTCTTAACGAATTGACATTAAAGCATCCTAATTAATCGAAGACAAAATATTGATTGTAGCTTTAATCAATCGAAGTTACGCTACAACAATTGCAGTTATTGGTATTCTGAAAGCAACTTTATGAGCATTTCCTGTACAAGAAAGTTTCAGTAAGAGATGCATCCTAATGAAGAGCCAGCACATTCTCTGGTGCTTTCTCTTGAGTGCCATTGACTAAAGGCTCGGGTCAGTCGACTAGCACTTTAATTATTACGCTTTAAGAATCTCTTCAAAGTCTTTCGTCGAAGTATTTCCCTTTACGTGTTTCCTTTACGTATTTCCTCTACGTATTTCCTCTACGTATTTACTCTACGTATTTGCTCTACGTATTTGCTAAGCATGTCTCCTCCAATTCTTTAATGCTCAGCTGAACGATCACACACTTCACAACATTTTACTGTACTGAACTAGTGACCCCCAGCAGGCTTGGGCGACTGAAGAAGTGCTACAGCTGCTGCTTTTTATATAGGGCGACTAGCACTCAATCACTAAAATGCTCTCAAATGTTGTGCTCGGCGACAGGCCCTTGCAGTAGAGCGTTAAATGACCAATGGGAACGCTCTCTGCTACGTCGGGTATTCTAGCTTCGTAACGATCGTTGCAGTCGAGACTAAAGTGACCAATAGGAACACCCTCTGCTGCGTCGTGCATTTTAGCTTCGTTAGCTTCGTCGGGGCCGTTGCTGTCGATCTTTAAGTGACCAATGGGAACACTCTCTGCTGCTGCAAGCACTCTAGCCTAGTTTTACTCAAATATAAATACCATATGAATGCTGCTGCATACACATAGCTACGAAGATGATCTTCTTTTCTTGAATGGCATAGATACTCGGACAGACTCTTTATTTAGTGGCATAGACAGCACTTTCTGCTGTTCTATAGTTCTCTTTCTGAGGCTAAATCTGAATCACTCAATAGATTTATCAATATCTCAATCTAGCCTGAATAGGCGTCTATTAAGTTTCTATTTATGTACTTACGCTTTCAAACTTGTCTTTGTTTTTCACGTGCTGCGCAATGAAGCGCGAGCCTTCGATAGTCTTTTCCATCTCCCGTGCGTAGGGCCTCTCGAATGTAGGACTGAGATCGGCTGCTGCGGCTGCGGCAGCGGCAGCTGGACAACAGCCCGGGCTGATGTCGCCATTGAGACCCGATGGACTGAACAGATCGTCATCGGCGCCCGGCAGTGGCAGTGAGGAGGGCAGAGGCGGATCGCTAAAGCAGTGGGCGGCTATACCACCGGCCGCCGCCAAATCGAAGCGATGAGAGGCGGGTAACACTGAAAAGAGATAAAGTGAAGAGAGAAATTGAGAAATTTGGGAATATAAAAATAGTAATATATATAGCATATAATAATTAATAACATTAAAATATTTCCTAAAAAAATATTACTACGATTTCCAGTAGGTTTTTATCCTTTGACTTTTGTGAGGATCTGTTCCACATTTATTTTTCTTGCACTTATTCCAGTCTGGAAATTTTTAACCTTTCTCATTATAGGGCTAAACACTATTCAAATTCAACAGGTCTTAAATTATGTTTTTGCTCAATGAATTTATTCACTTAGTCGCGTTAAATCACTCAGTACTTAATGTTCCACATAATAACACCATATAACAGTGAGCTCTAAAAGTATACCGCTCGCATAGATTTTAGCATTTGTCAGAGTCTGCGCTTTTCATCTACTTATTCTATTTGCCGTTCAGCTTATGCTCTTGAACATCTTTAATTGCGCACATTTTGCTGCTCGCTTTCATCGTTCAGTTATGGTTCTGTATTTTTTATTGCAGTACGCAATAACAGCATTTGGTAAATCAAATTGCTAGCTATTTCGCAGCTCTTTTATTTTGATGTGGCCCCATTTTATTTTCCATTTTTTTTTCTCCTATTTTTTTTTTATGCGCAAATGCAATTTGTAACTTTTTCAGCGCTCTGCTTTGTATTGGTGCCCCTTTTATTTCTTCGCAATGTCCCTAAGGAGGTGCAGGACAAAGGCTGAAAAGTAGCAGCAGCAGGAGCAGTAGAAGCAGCAACAGCAGCAGAAACAATAAAGAAACTCAGTAAATAGTTAGCTGCATTCTACTTATTTTGTATTTATTTGACAGGGTGTTTTCAAGTTTCAATATCTTCCTTTTGGCCGCCCATAAAATGGGAGAGCGCAGACTAAAAGCGGAAAAGGAAGTAAAGAAAAACTATTAATTGAAAGCCGGCTGGACTTTCGGATAGCGAAAAGTAGTCACCAAGTGGCTTAAGCTCCAGTTTTCCTATTTTTCTCTCTTTGTGGGTTTCTTTTATTGCGCTTCGTGGGCAACTGACATTCCATGGCGTCTGCTTTTTGAGTGGTTTTACGTGTCGTACACTCAATAGGGAGTGGCAACTGTGGTAGCGAAAGTAACTATTTGATGTGTCGCATAGATGCACACTGCCAAACTTTATTTCTATTTCGCATCCATGGCATAATTGGTATTAATATCGATGCATCGTGCATTTGTGAAAGGGCACTTTTATATTTCCAACTCAAAAGACTATTGAATTAGAACTAGTTCTTGTCTCTGTGACCGTCAGGTACATATTGTCTCCGCTTTTGGTACTTTTGCCACAAGTCTGTAATGAGCTCAAACGTCGTCGACGACAGTGACAAAACGATACAAAAGTAATTTCTAAAGCGAATAATTCTTGGACGAGTTGCAGCAAGTTTTCTCTTTACTTTTCAGTAGAAACTTATGCAACTTGTCTGCTTGGCTGGCTGTTGGTTTGTCTCGTTTGCTTCGGTTGGCTGTTCTCTGTTCTCTGTTCTCTCCTCTATTTGACATCAGCACTGCCACTTGGCAGTGCAATTGCCCGTTAATTGCCATAAATTATTTGCGCTTGGAGCCTCCAGCAACGGCGCTGGGCATTCAAATTCATATAATTTCAATGTAGTTGCGCACATTTAAGCGAAATATAAACTCCGCTCGGCTGCTTGCTTGGTTGCCTGGTTACCCAACTATATAAAGCTCTGTGCTGGTAACTTAATGCGCTAGCTAAAGCCAGTTGAAAACACGCATAAATTTCAAGGCGACAACAAAGGCGGCAGCTAGAACCTACATCGAGTCCAGCGTCTAGCTGCAACTGCAACTGCAACAAAGCCAAAGTTGTGAGCAACAAAAAGTTTGCCCCAAGCCGAAATAAAAATGGAAGCTGTGTGGGGCTTCTGAAGACTCCCGTTGACTTTGACAAAGGCGCTTACAATGGTGCAGGCCAGTGGCAGTGGCAGAGCAGCTTAGAGATGGCAGAGGAACTCACCTGGTATGCCGTAGTCGCCGCTAAAGCGCTTGGTGTCATAGTTAACAAACTTGTCCACGTCTGGCGGCAAATGAAAGACGTCTGTGAGCACCTCGGGCGGCTGATCCTCTTCGGGGTCCTCCTTTTTGGGCCGCTCAATGCAGAGCAGCCTGGGCAGGATTTTTATGAAGACGCGCTGCACCCACGGCGCCATGCGATGCGTCACTGGTGATCTGCAGGCATGTGAGTTAGCTAAGGACCCAACGACAAACGCCTCAAGTTTCCACTCACCTAAAGTTGACGTTCAGCACCGCAATGGTTACCACAACCGACAGCGTGACCAGCATCATAGTGAAGAGCAAATACTTGCCCAGCAGCGGCACCGTCAGCGACGTCGGCGGAATAATCTCGGCCAGCAGTAAAAAGAACACAGTCAACGACAGCAGGATGCTGATACAGAGCGAGATCTTCTCGCCCGAGTCGCTGGGCAGATAGAATACCAGCACGGACAGGAATGATATGCCGACGCATGGTATGATCAGATTAACCGTGTAGAAGAGCGTCTTCCGCCTCAGCGTCAGATTGAACACGATGTCCAGGTAGGGCTCCTCGCAGCAGCTGTAGAACTTCTCGTTGCGCACCGCCGGCACACGCATAATATCCCACTCGACCGAGATGTAATAGTCCTGCAGATCGATGCCCACCTCAATGTTATCCGAGTCGGCGGTTTGCTTCAAGTGCCGCAAGTCGACCTGAAACGAGAATGGAATAAATTCATTTACAAATATATTTAATTGATACTCGAATAGAATTCTATTAATTGAAATTGTATTTGAATATGATTAAAGTTCTGGTTCAAATTCAATTCAATAAATCAAAAGAATATATATTGTAGTATTCAATATACTCTGATCAATGGAGTATTGTACTTAATTTACCATTTATTAGGTTCACATTGTTGGGCTGTATCGAGATCTGTGCGAGCTGTTCAGCATATTTGATTTATGCGTCGACTCGCTTGACAATGCAACACCTGTGCAATTGTACTGCCATTAACATTGATTTGTTGTCTCATTTTCCAGCAGACGATGCCGAATCAGCATCGACAACAGAAACACTTGGCTCAAGTGTCTAGCAGACGGCAATGGCGCAATGAATTTGCCAAGGCAGCGCGCAGGTGTCGCTGCTTCCCAATCAAATGTTGCTGCAGATGTTGAAGTCGAAAACGTACTCGTACTTTTGACAAATTTTTGACAATCGTCAATTGCCCAACGAATTGCGATTGCCTCCCCCCAAACCCCAACCCCCGTCTCCCATCCAATAGAGGTGGCAGCTGCGAACTTAACTTTGGCTCACGTTCACCGCTGAACGTGAAAGACATTTACGTTTTACCATTTATTTCAGTTCATTTGTTATTGCGCTTGTTAGCTATTTGTTGTTCGTGGCGAACTTCATTTATTTGTCAGCTCCGCTTCCATTGACTCTAGCTCACTTTTCTTTCTACTTATATTATTGACAATCTGCAGTTATTCACCGTTTCGATTGACTAATGGAAATCATCTAGATTTGATTTGGGTCATCTATTTGGAGATGTCAGTGTTTTTTCAATTCAATAGGAATAGCTTTTACTTTCTGTTTGCACATCTTTAATGTCACTAATTGAATAAAATCAATTTGTTTTTCGCAAATACACCCACCCACACACACACACACACACACACATACACAATTTTCGATTGCTTCTCTGCTATTATAGAAACGCTGCAATGCATTAACGCCCTGTTGTGCCAATTGGGCACAAACAGAATTCTGAATAAGCGACGAAATCAACTGGCGAACATTTTTTATATGCTGGCAAGCATGTTTACTCCTTCCATGATTCCATATACACACATACACACACGCGCACATACATATATGAATGTTTTTATGAAGTTAAATTCAATGAAGCATGTTGAAGCTCCCGATGCGTGAATGCGCCATATTTTTCAGAAAGAAAAAGCAAATCGGAAAATTGCGGAATGCTGTAAACGACTGCGTCATACTCGCTCATGCAATTACATAAAGTTGGGCATCCAAAATATTAGTAATCAACTAAAACCAAAACAATTCACTTTGGCTGTGAAACAAACAAAGCTAAAGAGGATTTTTCCTGATGAAAAACTAAAATGCTCCATATTTTTGTTAATTTGCGTAACTTTAGCTTTAAATGTGGCGGAGTCCCAGTGGTCGTGTAGAGCCTATCTCCAGCCAATATGGTCTTTGCTTTAGCACAATTAAAATGTTTGCTTACTCTTACATATAACATGTGTAGAGAAACTCTGGACTCACAGATAATTCAGTATTATTTATGAGCACAAGCAGACAACATTCAATGAAAGTAATGAGCAGATGTAATTTGAATTTAAATTTGACAGACGGACGATATATAAACTTTACGTAAGAAAGAATAACAAATAAATCAGCAAGTGTGTTATTAATTCGTTGTGTTGGGCTTCCAGTTTGCAGCTTGTTGCTATATGTCAATTTCGATTTGGCTGTAGCTGCTTGCTGTTCCTTTGACAAACGAGTCCCAAAAAGTTTCCAAAGTCTTGGCTGGTTCATTAAACGCAGCTGCTGGCTGTTATCTCCTACTCGCACACACACATGTGCGTGTGTGTGTGTGCGGGTGAGAGTCTTGTGATTTATCACATGCCCAGGAATGAAAAAAAAACACACACACACACACGAGCGAACGAACGAAACGTGTCAAGTGTACAAAAACACAATAAACATTAGCAACAGTATTGAAATAAATAAATATACAACAGCCATTCACGAGTGCAGCCCCGAGCGAGCCACGCCCCTGTAAGGAACCTTTATTACTGGCTGCTTACCCCGAGCAGCGATAAAACAGCGAAACGAACAATCAATTGCCAGTGAGTGAGTCCCTTTGTTTCGCCATTCGTTTCAAGGTCGTCGTAGCCAGCTCAGCGCGGTATAACATGTTTAAAAAGTCATTTTCCTTCCTCACTTTACTTTTCCGTTTTCCAATACACGCACTCTCTCTCTCACACACTTACATATATACATGTGTGTGTGTGAGTGTATGACTGTTTCCGTGTGCCACGCCCATTTGTCTGCCATTGAATTTCGCGACTTAATGCTTTTATAATCGAGTTAAACATTTGATTAACATTTGATTAGCCGTCAGTCAATCAGAAACGACAAACGAAGCCAAAACCCACTGAACTCTTCACCGTATTGATGGATGGCTTAGATCTGAGCTGTGGCAGTGCCATTGATTGACAGCCCACTTGCTCTCTCTCTCTCTCTCTCTCTCTCTCTCTGCTTCCCTCCCTCTGGAGCCAAGTGATAAACTTGCATATATAAGCACTTAAGTACTTTCACTTACCATGTAACCATCGTATGTCCACGAGCCGAACTTCATGAAACATGTCTGCTCGTCGAACGGAAAGTATTCGACATCAATTTCGCAAAAGGATTTATAAATGGCGGGCGGCTTCCAGACCACTTTGCCCGTGTGATGAAGAATTGCTTTTGTCATTATTGTCACTTCATAGTTGCCATCGGCGCTGCGAAAATATAAGAAATATATTCACAGTGAATGAGTAAACGTGTAGATAATTTTTTAATATATCATCTGAGTGTATATCAGAATTTAATATATTTTTTATATAAATTATGAGGTAAATACAATGTGGCTCAATAAACTTAGCATATATATATTTTAGATATAGGATCTCCAACCTCTTTATGCTAATTAGGTTTTTGGTAAATTAATATTTAAGTTTGGATCAGACAGCAAATATCGCTCTTCTATATAATTATATGTTTATTTGCATCAAACAGAAAACAGAAACTGCTTTTATTTAATTGTTTGACAAATTACTTAATCAGTTAACTAAGAAGAATAATTATAAACATTATTATTATTACTGCTTGCGATCTGATTAATATATTCATACTATACTATATATATACTATACTCATACTTATATACTTTACTCATATGGGGCTTGGCACACGCCTTTGAGTTGGATTCAACTTCAGCCTTACTTTATACAGTATTTATTTGGCTCAGCGTGCTCTGCATTTGGCATTCTAGTTTCGATTCACTTCAAGTATTTAGGCATCACTTAAGACAGGTGCGCCGCAAAAGTCTCTATTAGCACGGATTTTCCACCTGTCTCACAGAATTTTCAAATTAAAACGCCTCGACATGAAGCTTAAAAACCACCAACTGCTGCCACACACACACACATACATAGACTAAGAGAAAGAGACAGATAATGATACACTGTTTAGACAGTCAGACCAAACCACAATACCATTTCCGGCGGCCATATTAACTTAACGCCATAAATCTCAGCACTGCTATTATTTTGCGGTAGACACAGGCTCAGTTTGATTGCCCCTCTCTCTCTCACACACACACACACATAGACTGCTGGTTACCCTCTTCTCTTTTTAATCTTTGCAACGCTCCCTCGCTTTTGGCTCTGCCTCCGCTCGGCTGTCATCGTCGTACATACGTTGGAGTATTGCTATTCCCAAAGTGCTATGGCTTTGGCTTTGTTTTCTTTAATTAAATGAATGCTGTTGACAACTTTATTATCAGCTGAACTTTTGTGAACCCAAGGCACCCAGCCAACACCCAGCCACGCCCGGCCAGAGCGCTCTCAACTGCCACAGCCACTTTAATTCTATTATTGTGTATTACGGAGGCGGACCGCTCCTCCATAAATGCATGAAACACACACACACACAGACACACTAATCTATGGTTCTTTTTCAACTGTTTTAGTTTTCAGCATCAACTGCGTAGAAATCAAAAGAAGCGAAATAAAATTTCATTATCTTTCATTAGATTTATAAAAATTGAAATGGCGCACCCAGAACGCTGGATACAAAGTCAAAGAGAAAACTTTTGAACGCCTGCGGATTGGCTCGGTCTCTTTCCATTCGGCTTCAGATTCAGCTGTGGCCTAGCAGATACAAAGATGGCGCACAGTGTGGCTCTCAGATTAACGCGCCGATAGCCACGGTTGCCGGCGAGGGATGGAGCTGACACTCATATGCCGCGTTGTCCCGCATGTATGCGTGAGTGTGTGAGTGCCTGTGTGTGTGTGTGTGTGTGAGTGAGAGAGTGTGTCGCCGCGCACCACCGAATCGCCGTGCAGATAATGGCTGCAATTGTGGTGACCCCCAGGCGTGGTTTCGGTTTTTCGGTTTGGTTATAAACTTTTGTTCTGGCTCTCGTATTTTTCGCATTTTTATTTTTTTTTATTTTAGTCTTTGCGTTGTGCTTTTTGCAGCGCCATCGGCCATTTTAAATGGTTTTTAGCCATTAATGGTTTGCCTGGCGCTGCTGCTGCTTCTGCTGCTGCTTCTTCTTCTTCTTCTGCTACTGTTGTTGTAATAACATTTTAAAATGCTGTGCTTTTGGATTTGTAGTTAGCGTGCAAGTATGTCTGCCAGTGGCCGCGGCAATGGCTTAGTCTATGTGCTTCGCCTCGACTACTGCCTGAGGCCCTCGCTGCTAATGGACAGCGCCGCCGTTGATAGTGGAGGGGCCGGGGTGGGTGACCCAATGGCCAACGGCCGAACGGCCATGGGCATGCACAGCTAAAAACAACATTCGAAGCAATTTTCGCATTTAAAATAAATTTGTAATTAGAAGCTGAAATGTATTTTTAATTAGTTCTACAATTTGAGTTGATCCAGCAAAAGCCATTTTTATAACCAGTTATAACGACCGCAAAGACACACACACACACATTAGCTGTCTGCTGGCAATGTTTCTAAATTATGATATTGCTTAGAAGTTACTAAAACTATTAGCACAGCAGATACAGTCATAAGGAAGCAGCTGACACTGAAACCGACTGTGTGTTGGCTTGGCTTTTTAAAGGAAATTTAGCCACTGTAATTAGCTAGCCATATAAAATATAGATTAAGCTAATGCACCATGGCCAAGGCGAAAATGTATAAAAAATAAATTATTGTGAATTTTAAGTAGTTAGACTTTCTATTCGACTATCATAATCATAATCAAAACATAATTAAACACGACGTCCAAGCGGCAAACACACGTACATATGTACACATATAGTGCCTAAGCTCACACAGTGCTTCTGTGCGCTATGAGAAGCTTTCAAATACGTATTATCAAATAAGTCCGAGAGCCCATTAAATGGAGCCAGCTCGGAGAGCCAGCCGCAATTGCAATCAATTCTAGACTCGAACTAAAAACAAAAACCAAATATAAAAGAAAGATGGAGATAGAAAGAACGAGGGAGCGAGAGAGAGTGAGAGAGGGACAGTCTCTCGTTTTGAGTCCCAGCTCGAGTGCGATTTTAATTTCTTGGATCAACATGAAAATTAATTGCTGGAATTAAGCGGCTTTCACAAATATAAACAGAGTCGCCGTTGCTGTCGTCGCCATTGGCCAGGCTACTCAAATGGGGATCTGAAACTTTTGTGGCTTGCTTTGCCTAATGGCCCACCCACACACAAATACACACACACACAAATACACTCGCAGTGGCTGCTGTTGACGGTTTCTCGGTTTCGATGCGTATTTAATGTGCCCGCTGTAGCACATACGACTAATTATGCCTGGTCAGCAAACTTGGCCATGACACATGGCTCTATCTATGTAGATGCTTTGGGCACTCCATTGAGAGCTGAGCGTTTTTCAAATTTGGATCGAAATTGCAATTTAAAATTGACAAACGTGGAGCGTGGCGCAGGCGAGCCGCAAACAATTAGAGCCAAACAGCGCCAGGCCACCTCCAATAAATTACAGCTTCTGACGCTTGTTGCAAAGGCCGCATAGCAACATGCCCAACAATATTTAATAGGCCAACATGGCTGCACTGCATGTGTGTGTGTGTGTGTGTGTGCCAGGTATTTGTGCCTGGGCCATGTTGTTGTTTGGCTACGCGCTTTGAGAGGCTCCCTCAACTATTTGTTGGCTATTTCACATTTAGCAGGCAATTAAACATTTTTCATTGCATACGAATTTCGGCGTAAATTTTGCCGGATATGCCATCATTCCCCATACAAATACGTGTGTGTGCCAGCGTTTCCCATGACGCTTTTCGCTTGTCTTGGCGTGGCAAAAGTTTGCGCGTGAAATATTGCCAGTTGCAATGCAATTGTGAATTTAAACGCATTTTCAGCGTTGCAAACTTTTGGACCCGCCACATGGTGGAATCTACTGTATTTGCATTCAAGATTACCACAACACACGTATGCCAGTTGTATAAATAACAATGCCTGAAATTTCCGCTTGCATTCAATGTATTTTACAGCGATATTCAATTCAGCCATAATTTTTCGATTTGCAAAAAAAAGGACAAAGTGTTAGTTGATTTGTTATTTAGTTGATTTTTTAGTTATACCTAAATATTTTAAATCTATTTCCGTTGCTGCCATTTTCCTTTTTATGGTCATTCAATTGAAACGTGGCAAAAAATATGTGAGGATATGATTTTGGTATCAATAAAATTTGAGTTAGATAAAACATTTTTATATATTATAGACGATTACAAATCTGAATATTATACATAAAACCTAAATAACAATTTAATTTGGTTTATTGCCTCAGAAACTAAGTTAATTTCCTTTTGTTGTTAAGTAATATACGAGTTTTTTTTATTTAAGATAAATATACTTTAGCAACAAAAGTTTTCGTACAAATAGCCAGAATTCCATATAAAGAGAAAATAAATATTGTGAATTGCGACTGAGGACAGTTAGATGTCTTTTGGAAAGGATAAGAGCAACATTTATATGACACTTCCACTCAGGGGAGGAGTGCGTTAAATTAACTTTACAGACGCTATTTATTTCCAGCAAACACAATTAACTACGAGCAGCGGGCAGAGGCCACTTTGGGCTAAACTGGGAATGTCTGTGACGGAGTCGAATGGCACTTCATGTCCAAGTGGCACTAAAGGGAAAAGGCTTTCTAACCGAAGTATTGCTTCATTATAGCCCGTACAAATTATTTTTTCACTTTAAAAATCGTTCACGGTAGCAGCGAACGACAATGGAGGCCATACAACGAGCCCTGTACGCCCGTGTGTATGTGTGTGTGTGTGTGTGATTCGGTGTAAGTACCAGAGAGTTGCTATAGTTACGCACAACAACATGACAATGCTTTTGTCGTTGTTGCCAAATGAAATTTAAGCTTTTTCCAAGCAATAAATTACGAGTTTTTATGACTCTCGCAAAGCGCACACACACCCCGAAAAGTATGCTATGCGAATAGTTCGCATGGCCGAGGCACCAACCAGCAACACACCCAAAAGCGAAGAAGAAGAGAAGACGACCAATACGGCACATAAAGCGCGTAAGCCGATCTGCCAAAAGAGCGATGTCCTCCCTGGTGTTGTAGGCACTGAAGTGCCAGCCCCATCGACAGAGTCAAGTGTTGGCCAGCAAAGCCACTGGCACAGTGGGCGAAATACGAAATCTACAGATAAATCTCCTTAATCGATATTAAGTAAGGACTTTGCGAATAACTTATGCTGAGGGAAAAATATTTGATAAATATGTACATACTAAAAAAGGAAATAAATAAATAAAACAAATAAATAAATATGAAAAAAAAAAATAAATAAAAAAGAAAAATACAAAAAATTAATCAATAAATCAAATTAACTGGATGTTCTTAATATGTATAAATTATTAACATTTACAAAATTAATATAAAACTAATATATAAATATTTAAGCACAGGTAATTAAACATAAATGCATATGAAAAATACAATTAAAAAGTTTTAATTTAGAAATATGTAATCCAGGATAAAAATAAGAGCAACAAAAATATATATTAATGAAAATATTTTCATTTTTGATTCTAAAACAATATTTTCTTAATTCTTTTTTATTATTAATTTTATTTACTTTTTATTTATTTTGTATTTTGTGCCACTGTGCCGTTTATTTGGGGCTGGCTTCACTCCAAGTGAAATACGACACAAGGCAAATTATAATAATTACAGCGAGCATAGCAAAATAAAACGTCCAATTTGAGAAAGCAGACGAGTTGGCAGCAATTTTGTGCTGAGCATAAAGCGAGGCCTGTTCCCCTTTGCTCAGCCGGCTGCAGAGCTGACTCGTTGGCCGGCTCTCATGTTACATTGAAATAAAAATACGTTAATCATTGCCTGATAAATTGCAAGCGTAACTGTGCGCTTTGATTTATGCGCCCGTCGCGCCCATTGGGCAATTATGCAAATGGTGCCAGGCGCCAGAACTTCCCTGGCAAAGCCCTCAAATGCCAGCCCAATGCCTAACCATAAGCATAATAAGTCGGACCTTCGGGCGGGAAGGCTAGGGAATATTGGATGGCACTTACTTGTTATATAGTACTATATCCGGCAGCCATATGTGCTCGGAGGGCACATGCAGGGTATCCACTCCGCCGTAATCGTCGGGATTCCATTTCAATTTGTAGTCGTTCCACTCCTGCAAAACATAGAGAGCCATATTAAAAATTGCCCAGCAATGAATATATTTATGTATATATAGGAATGTACACGTATATCTATATTAAAGGAACTAGACCGAGCCCCTGGCCACATAATTTGCATATAGACGAAAATTGAATTGAATTTGTGGGACATAATGGCTGGCTGTTCTGCCTTGTTGCAATTGCGTTCCATTAATTATGCATTAATTTATTGGTCGCTAAGCTGTTGGCGTTAAATTTAATTTTCGCTGTACAAATATGCGCCGTACGAGCAGCCAGACGCAGCTGTAGGGTATATGCCTAGCTATACCTAGTAATCCGATTATAATATATTGTAGGGTATCTTGCAGTTGTTCATACAGTAGAGCGTGCATCATAAAACTGTAATTATGTTGACTGCCATAAAGCATTGTTGCAACATGCATGCGGCATGCGGCATGCGTTGTGGGTGTTGTTTGCAATTCACAATGGGATTATCGCAGCGCTTGAAGCTTGTCCAAGCAGAAAATGTTCCACAGTTCAAACAAAAAAGAATTAAAACAAAACAAAAAATAACCCTTGCTGATGTTAATCGTAATAAATGATTAAATTAATTATGAGTGATTTGTATTCCATGAAACTAGCTGACAAATGATTGTTCATATAAAAACTAATTGGTATATAAATTTAAACTACATGTGTATATGAGAGTGTCTGTCTGTCTGTCTACACTGCGGAAATAAGCTAAATATTATTCTTTAATTCCACTGCAGCTGCATTATCAAGTATGTAAAATGATTTTGTTTGTCTATTCAATAAATGGTACAGTTAATTGCAGTCGCCTCTATAGAGGCGAGAGAGAGAGAGAGAGAAAGCACGTAAATGTCATTATGTGCATGCGGGTGCACGTAGATGCGGCCGTATTGACATAATGCATTTGCATATTTATGGAGGCGCAGCACAACTGAAGCCAAACATAACTGCAGTAATGTCAACAGCAATAATAAATAACAAATAACAAAACTTTTACCATTGTTTGCCAATTCTCAGACAGTTTTGCTACCATTCTGAATATATCAAGTGACAGACAGGCATATAATATAAGTTATAGAAGAATAGACAGAATCATATTCGATAACTAATTTTGTCTCTAAAAATATTTATAAATTTAAATAAAATTTTTACGCCTGCTGAGTAGAGTAAAGTATTATTTAAGAATTACACTAAGGGCACAAATTATTTACTTTTATCAAAACACATTTTTGGCTAAAGAATTTTGTGTGAAATCTCTTGCCGGAACACAGGCGAATTACATTTATAATGAGTCAACAATGATAATAGCTGAATTGGTCATGCAAAGTTTCGGAATTGAATCACACACACACACACACACAGACTGAGAGAGAGAGAGAGAGATGGAGGGAAACAGATGCGATGCATAATTTATATCTAATTTTGGGGTTTGCTTTTGTTTTGTCAATTTGGGTAACCAGAAACTTGGCATAAGCTTTTGAGAGCTATTGACTGCAATTTGTGCAGGGGCTTTGTGTGCATATTTTATGCAAAACTTTAAAGCTCCTCCATTCAAGTGCTTAAAAGCAGTTTCACAGAAACGCGCCAGCCGGACAATAGATATATGTACACACACACATACATATATATAGTTGGTTTTTTTTTTTTTTAGGAATTCCTAGTTGTAGGTCCAACTGGCTATCGCATTAGTGCAAAGCCAATGCACATATACCAATGGCCGCTGCAAAGAGACCATCGTGGACATCGTGGCCAGCATGGCCAGCATGGCCACTTGGCCAAGAGCGGGCGGAACGCTTTCAATTGCAAAGCCAAGTGCTGCTCACAAATTGGCATTATGCGAACGCGAGGATTGGCAAGCGAAATTACTTTGCATTTGGCTGCACCGAAGCGTGCAAATGGTGTATTCATGTTACCCGGAAACGTTAGGAACTTTGCCAGCTGCCAAATCACAAATTTCGCAGTCTCCCAGGAAATAGCCAAAAAAACAACAAATAATACGTAGTGTGAATAAAAAATGGAATAGTTCGGACTTACCTGCTCCACCCACACGTTCGTAGTCATAATTTGATTTTTTAAATTCTGCAAATAAAAATAGAATAGAAAGAAATGCGTTAGATTCAAATTTAAGCATGATTTCAATTCAATTTGTGTTGCAAATTTCAATGCAAGTCAGACAGAGTGGGTATACACGACTACTATATATGCTTCACAAAATTGTATTATAAAGATTAGTAGCTACTTAACCGCTTATCTACTTCAATATTATTATAAATAAAGTAATTTTACTGAATTGATTTCTACAGGCTAACATTAACATTATCGCATTCGACTGCATAGACGTAATGTGAATGCTTTTTTAGCCATCAGAGGCAGGGTATAAACAACAGCTCAAATGCTTTGCTCTGCTGTCAGCGGGGCCTGGGACTGGAGGCTGTTGCAGGGACTTAAGATTTCTGAGAACTTGAGCATTGAGTGGGGACCATCAAATTGAAAATCGTTGCGACGAGCGAATGTTTTTTTAGTGAACTGCAGAAACTCAACTGCTTCTGGTGTCGGTTAACAAATGCGTTTGAAATTTAGCAAGCTGAGTAGAGTGGAAGTCAAGTGGAGTGGAGTGATGTGAAGTGACGGGTGACGGGTGATGGGTGACGGGTGATGGGTGGCGGTGGTTGGGCTGTTTGTTTGATGGTGCCTTTGGGGCTGTCGGTGGATGTCAAGTGGTTGCCCATGGCATGTCCTGGGTTAAATGGTGCTGCAGCTGGTTAGTTTGAAGTGAGTTGCAGCAATAAGAAACAGTCACAGTCGTTGCTGGCGACCGTATCCTTAAAGCATCATTGAGTTTTAATCAATTTATGTCTCGCAAACTAGTGACACAGTCAACGGAAGAGAGACGAGATTAGAGCGAAGACGAGAATAATAGGAGTTGAAGCTAAACTGGAACTGGAATTGGGGCTGCTGGGGTAGCTGATGCAATTAAAGTTAAGAGCAGCTAAACAAGCATAAAGTTTAAGTGCCTCAGTGGTTGGCTGCGAAACTGGATTAAAAGTTGGCTCTGCTATAAAAGCACCCAACGACGTTGCCAGTAATAGATGAAGTCGAAACACTAGATATACATGCTATATGAGGTACATGGTAGATACAAATATTTGGGATTGAAGTGAAGAGTCTTCTAGGTGAATTGAGTTAGGGGTATTTTTTCATGGAATATTTTTTCACTTCCTTAAAAATATTTTCAAATGTACTTTGAATCATTCTTTTAGGCGACATAGGAAATGAGCTAATGAAAATTCATGAATGAAAATTCATTAATTCATTTCCTTTGCCACCGAGAATAAACATTTGCTGTACAAATAGAGCTTGTATATTATTCGTTGAGAGTCCACATTAAATCTAAATTAAGGAAACAGTAATTCGTGCTGTTGCTTTTTTTCAGCATTCGCCGCAAATAATTCAAGCGTATCAACAGCATGCGAGCAGAGTGCTCTAATTTGAGTCTTAACAGATGCACGCATGACAACCACACGCTGCTGCTCCGCTCTGCTCTGCTCTGTCCTGTCCTGTTTGGGCTGTCGAGTGTAGAGCCTGGCAAGTAAATTTCCACACTTAGAGGGCTCCTTGTCAGTTGCTCTCATTATATTTATGGCTGCTGCTGCTGAGGCTGCTGCTGTTGCTGCTTCCCTTTCATATTTATTTAGGTGGCAAGCGGCAAAGCAACTCATTAGGCGTAGGACTCAATAGAAAAAAATTAGAAAACGATAAAATTGCGGAATAAATCACTTAAGCGTTGAAAAATGTAATTAACGACAAAATGATAATGATGCGCCGTAAAGCGTTTTCCGTCGAGACAGTCAGATAATGTCAACGCCAGAGCCATGAAGAGCGCCAGGACACGAGGCGAGAGCAATATGTTAGGAGACGCAGTGCTAATAGATTCTGCTTGCGGTTACCACACGCAGGCGTATGTATGTTGGCTGGAGGTGGTGCCGGTGGTGGTGCCAAGGCGAGCTACTACTAATCACCCACTTGGTGTGCTTTTGTGGGCTGCCAGCTAACAGTTCCCAGTTGCCAGCTGAGACGTCTGAAAGGTCATTAGGTGCGGGCGACGCGGAAAACCGGCAATAAAACGACAAAGCCAAGACCAGGCACAAAGACAGCGGCATAAGGAAGAGATAATATTGCAGCAGCGGCGTTGGGGGCAATGGGGACGATGGGGACAGGCGTGGCGCGTATCCTTTATGCTTTATGTGCGGCATCCGCTGTAGTAGCTGCAGCCAACAACAGCAACACGAAGGCGACTTCCTTGCCTGTCTGCCGCTAGCTGGCCATGTCTATGTCCATGTCCATGTCCATGTCTATGCCGGTTCACACCTACAGCTGCCTAACTGGGTTTGTTGCCATGTAATTGCTGTTGCTGTTGTTGTTGGCGTTATTGCCGTTGCGGCTGCTTGCTTATTCACACTTAGAGCTACGGCTGTCGGTTGCATTACCCCGAACAGGATGCAGGATATACAGTGTTTAAATTGCTTAAGCCGAGGCTTAAAGCATTCTAAATGCAACTGAATTTGCATTCTGTGCCACTGGCGACTGCCTTCAGCCACGCTCTCTAGTCCTTGGGCTTGTTTACAATTTAAATCGAATTTCCTGTTTGCCGTAAATAAACTTTGCAGCAACGATGCCGAGCATCATCATAAAAATGTACCCAGCTCCAACTGAATAAGTATTAAATGCGGCAGTTTCGATAGTAAGCCGGAGTGTTTTTTGGTTTATTATAACGAGCAGAGGAAAGTGACGCAAATAAATGTTTATTTGTGGAATATATATTAAACAGCATGCATTTTGTTATGGGTGAATTCGTCTTTTATCAATTTTAAATCAAATTTAATCTTCATTTGGCGCTGTCTTTGTGTTTGATTATACTTGGCTCTTTCCTTCCACATTTCGAACTCATTTTCATTTGATTGCGTTCTGCTCCAAATTTCGTTCTGAGTAGCTTAGCAACCAGCAATTAAGACTGTCTACAAACAATATGCGTCTCACACCTTCTCTTCATCACCTGCTAATGCATTTCTGGTCGTAATTCACCTGAATGAGCAGCCGAAATGCAAGTAATAAGCAGCCGAAGCCACTCGGAGCTCGAGGGCAGGCAAATGGAAACATCTTGAATTAAATTTAAAATTCTGCCTAAGCCGCATCTGCCGTTCTGATATCTGTTCCTTATATACTATTGTATATATTTGTATATTGCGTTCTGTTGCCAATGATTGCACTTTTCAATAGAACTAAAAATCAACCAAAGTGCACAGATTTTGGTCGATAGGATTTGCAAGGAATTGGCAATAAGAAGGCCAGGCAACACGTGCATCCAGAAGTATTACAACAACAATGAGCTATGCACAACAACAAAAAGTGACCAGTGGACTAGTGCAATAAAAGAAATTCTGCGAATATCTCTAGCCAGTTGCCTGTCGAGCACACAGGGCGTATGTGCAATATTACAATATGTGTGTGTGCACACACACACACATAAGCATTTTCATTTATAAGCACCCCATGCCAGTAGCACTGCTTCAAATGCGAGATTAATTTCAAAACTAAATTATATGAAATCATATTAAATTCTATCCATTTGTAAGTTGCCTGAGATATAAAAAGTGGAAGGAACTGTACGGCTATGCTGCATTTTAAGGCCAAATAGTACCGTTCCAATTACCTTAGCCTCTACTCAATTTGTAGTGCTGCAGAAACCTCTTTAAATGGAAGTAATAAAGTGTGTGCATATATATCAAGCAACCCTCCCAACAGTAATTGTGGGCAAAATGAACTTTTCTCTGTATGTTGCAAATGCAATATAAATAGGGGACTTGTAAAATTCCTTTGCCAATGTTGGATAATTGCTATGAGGTTATTTTTTTGCAAGAAATGGAAATGGAAAATTACTATAGAGAAGTCTGCATTTTGTTGATATACATCTAGTGATTCCAAGATAATCGATTCCAAGATATGAAATATAAAACATTTAAAAGGAATAAAGGGAATGTATACAACCTCTGCTAACCCATTATCATCATATTTTTATATTATTTAAGAAACGAAAATAAAAGTTAATGAAACCTCTGTGAACTGGCCTTTAAATATATTCCTTTCAATTCCCCAACAAATTGTATAATTTGTCCACGGATACAGGGGCCATTGCCCAATGTGCGCTGGTATGACTGCTGCTGACTGTTTGGCATGCCTTTTAGTGGTCTTGGTGCTTAGCGCGTGATTTATAACAGCAAAAAGGGAGTCGAAGCCAGCTGGAAGTAAGAGGCCAAGTGCAGGATGCAGCACAGTGAGAGAGCGAGAGAGAGATGTAAAGCTCGGCTACTGTGTGGCCAAGAGCACACGTAGCTGTTAGCCGGTTTCCCATTTCCGGTTGTCATGTGCATTCAAGCCGTATAGAAGATTGTGGGCCATTTGCTTGGCCCGCTGCAGCTGTAGCTGCACTTGACTCTGTTGCCAATCGGAGTTTTCTCAATATTTGTTTCTTTTTCCTAAACACAATTTGGCCCAGGCGCTGGACTCCCCTGATATATTGCGCAATTTTTGCCGCCCTGATTGAGCCGTGTGCGGAGGGCACCAACTGCAATTGCAAACTTAATCAACAAAACAATCATCAGTCGATGCACTATAAATCGCAAAGCCCATTGATTTATTATGCAAACAATGTTGACTACCAGCTCGAAGAGTTAACAAACGACGACTGGGACTGGGACTATGATTGGAACGGGGATTGCGAAGGAGTGTGGGGTTGAGAGATGGAATTGGGATGGGAACTGGGTAAACAATGGTGGCTTAGTTCGACTGCCTTTTAAGCGTTTGGTAAACAGTTATTAATTACGCGGCTGCTGCGCTGCCACGGCTTATGCCACTTACCGGCGCTGTTGGCTCTGCAAATTAATCTGCTTTGATTGTCATTTGATAAGCAGTGGAGCAGCTCAGTTGTCAAAGGAATGACAGCTAAACTGGATGTCATTATCGTTAATAACAAATTAATATAGTTTCTGCGGGATTTCCACAAGGGAAAACCCATTTTTCCCTCTCTGCTTTATTGTATATATATAAATTACCCAGCATATATATTTACAGAAACACGAAACGTGCATTTTGAGAGCTCAAACTGTGACTTTAACAAGTTAATTAATGAACTTTAACTGATTGACGTTTATATATTTCTTAAGATATTATCATTGAGCTCTAAGGAGAGTGAAATAATGTTGTCTATATATGTAATTTATTTGTAGAATTTAGCTAGAATTTATTTTAGAATGTTTTCTGAGAATTGTTATGAAATAATATTAGCACTATTTCATTTGAATAAAAATAAATAATAATATAACGATAAAATTAATAAGATATCAATTGAGTTTCGCATTGTAAATAAATCGACTATATAAATATACCAATTATTTATTTATTTGTTGACTTACCACATCGATCAGCTGGGACAGCCTTAGACCCATTTTGACCGTCAGACGATCGGAGTTGTTGCCCACGGGTCGTATGAGTCGATTGTAGTTGCTCAGCAAGTCGTCGTACAGTCGCTTAGCATCTGGGTTGGCCAGGCCGCCGGTGGCAAAGTGTAGTGCTATGAAGACAGCTGCGAAGAGCACGCTACCCATCTTAGGCCAGGTCCAACCCTGCAATAAAATGCGCCAACAGAAATTTGAAACAGAATCAGAAATAAGTTATGGCTGCTTTGCTTGTAAAGGTATTGTAAATTTTACTTTGCATTTTGCTTTTGCATTACAATTACTTTTTGTTTATTTATTTACGTTGCGATTCTCGTTTTGCTCTGCCATATTTCTAGCCATTCCGGAGAGTGGGCGAGTGTGTGTGTGAGTAAGTGTTTGCACTCATAAATTTTGCACAACTGTCAAAAGTATTAGAGAGACAGCGCCAAAGGCGTATGGAGCTGCACCGGTGCAGCCATAAACACCATTTAATCTTTGGCTCAAACACTCAAGACGGTCCAAGATAGGCACGCAACATACACACACAGCATATATATATATATATTTATATATATATAAATGTGAGTATGCGCATGTGCTGGTGGCATATCTGGTGTCCTCTTGCATGTTTGTCTTTCCACACTCTGCCACACACAGCCGCATGCACTTTGTGTCGCTTAAAATTTTTGTTATTGTTCAGCTGCTCTTCAGGGACATAATCTAGAGTCTGCAATTGTCCTTTGCACCCACACAAATATGCACTGTGGGCAAACTTGACAATTTTTATGTGAAATTGCCATAAACCTTCTTTTACTTTATATTAAATTGTAGATGTAATACGTATAATGATATAGAATGGTTTCGGGGTATATAATATTTATAATAATATTTATATGCCAAGACAAAATAAATTGGCTATTCTATTTATTCTATGAGATATTCTTGATCAACCAAGAGCATTAATTCATTAAACTTAAACCAGTTAATTATAGTTTTGCATTGCCAATTTGTACAATATTTTGTAATATTTAATATTACAAGTATGTATTTATGTATTTAACAAATTAACTAATATATATTTTGTAAATTTTTCATAATTATTATAATAAATATTGCTTTGCCATTTCTTATTAAATAAATGTTTATATATATTCCTATTTAATTAACTTTAAAATGAAGAAATAAGAAATAAGCAGATCTCAGAGCACACGCATACATAGATGCAGTTGTAGAAGCAGTTGAAGCTCGAGTCGGCTTATCATGATCAAGCTGAAGCGTCGTGAGAACGAACTAGTGAGAAATCGAAACGAATAACCCAAATCTCTTGGCAGGTATACATATTTCACCCACTGTTAATCTGTCAGGCCTATCACTGCTCTTAAATTGCAATGATAAGCGTCGCATTGGGTGCTGGGCTCTCTGAGTACAGAGACAAAGAGCTTAAGAGTTTTTGCTATGGGTCAGTGGTCCACTAAGTTATGCCATTGTTTTTAGTGAGTTTTGCCCACTGTGCTTGTCTTACTTGAAACACGCTTTTTGCATGCTTCACCACGTCTTCAGGCTGTGCATATTCCGAAAAACTTTACTTTACACAAACTGACAAGCCCAAGTGCTGCAATGTTAGGGTACATTAAGCACAAACAAGCAATTATGTTCATTTCTTTTATGCGTTGCAAGTACACAATGTTTCTGGTTTCCCATTTCTTTTTACAGTTTGTTTGTGCTCATATCCTAGCTGTATTGTGCAGCCAATTATGAAAAGTGCGCAATGTTCTTTTTCAATTTTTCATTTATGTTTTGTTGTCTTCTTCAAAATTCAGGGCATATGACACTTTTTATACAGAAACTCCATTTTGTTTTTTCCGACTATAATAATAATAGTAATAAAATAACAAATATGTGGCACTCAGCGCTCATGTGTGGACATGTTTGTTGCCATTGATTCTGATAATTGGCTGCCGCAAGGGTGTACATGTGTGACTGTATGAGCTGCATGTGCATGCCATGGGAATGCGAGTGGATAAATCCATTACAAAATTGCACTGCAAATAGCAGATAAAACTGTGCTCTGTGTGAGTAAACAAATTTGCTTCGTTGTCTGCTTAAACTGTCAAAATGTGGGAAGAATATATACGCATATTTGAGTTTTTGATAAGAGTTTTCGTGAGAATGTTAAGCTGCATGATAGAAATATGTACATACGTAAAAGAACAATATATTTGATGTTTAATGACAATGCATTTAATAAGTGTATTTTACTTTTGTGTTTAGTCGGTATGTAATAAGCTGAATAATAAATATAAAAACTAAAATATTGCAATGGATACTCTAATACAAGTATTTAAATTTGAATATTTTAAGTAATAAGATTAACAAGAGGGAAACTTGAATTACATCTGTGAGCGCTGTAAGGCATTCTCCTGTTCTCCCTTCTTTCCAGATTCTCTATATAAGAAGAAGAAATCTGTAGCTTGCTTTCGTATTCAAAGTTACTGAGAGACTAACTGCTTCCTTATATTATTATCATTCTTTTCTTGTACTTTTTTCTCAACTCAATGAACAACTGTCGAGACATCATTTATCTTATCTGCATTCAGCTTACTTACAATACTTGAGATCCGTAATTGCATTTAACAATAAATAGCAAAGTGCAAGAAGCAAAGAACAACTTTCAAAATGTAGCTCTTCACGAAGTACTCGTTTCCTGCTGTCCAGAAAAAAGTTGTTTTTTTTTTTTAAGAGTTGCACCACTCAAATAAAATATATATAATATAATAAACTTGAACGGCGCGCATTGATAATCTAACTTTGGTCAAGTGTGCACAGAAACTTCGATCTGTTTGCTTCCGCAGCTGTATCTTCTCTACGAATTGGTATGCGTGACTGAGTGCGAGTATGTGTGTGTGGCTTTGAGTGTGTGTGTGTGTGTAAGTAGAGGAAATTGCAAGTGGAATTGAGTCTGTTGCTATTTACACTCAAATTGTTGAGGGCGATGCGAGTAATGAAATTAATCAAGAAGCCCGCCGGTTGGAGGTGCAAAATTAATTATGCTAATCATATGCTAATGATCTGTAATTTGATGGCATTGATTTGACATTGTCGCTGCCTCAGCAGCATTGCCGCTTGTAAAAATCCACAGCCGGCGATAAATCAAATCAAAATTGGACGACCATCTTCCCTGCATAATTCAGCGCTTATGTCTGAAGTGACACGTACACGTGTCAGTGACCGCAATAACAACAAAAAAACGTACGAGCGATGGCGTCAACACATCGCACACATACATACGAGTGATGAGCGACAACAAAATGGCTGCTATAAAGATGAACAAAAGAAAATGAATGTCATTCGACAGCTATTTATGCGCCTTTTAGTTGGCAGATTATTTCATTTTCATTCCCATATTGCCATTTATATTTATATATATTTATTATTTATTATTTATTTGCCTTGGCATTCACATTTATCGTGAACAATTTATATTTTGTATTTGCCAACGCTGCGTATGCGCAACATTATTTGCTGACTGCCTATAAATGTGTGTATGCGTATGCTATTTATTGAAATAACTATAAATAGAGGAGGCCAAATTTAAAAAGGCAAATTGTGAATTTCATTCGTTTCATATATTCCCGCATAAATATGCATAACTTTTCCATTGTTGATTTTTGAACCCATAAATAGCTAGTTCAAATTTTAAATTTGTTATAAATTTAAACAAAGCTATAATATATTGTATTGGTGGCCAGGCTGCATAATTTTTTATATTCTTTCAGATAAGATACCACCAAAATTAATAATGCCAAGCATTGTGGCCAACACTTAATGGTAGATATTTCAATCTGATGGCAATAAAATTTAATTTCAATTTTCAACTAATATAGATCCAATATATGTTCTGTGTCGCATTGAGTAATTTAATTTATTATTTTGCTGCACTTCCACTTTAGAGTTGATTTCGTGTGCACTAAATATAATATTTAACTCACAGCGCAGCATTATTTTTCTTTTTTTGCTTCTTTGTTAACTGAACTCAAATATAACTAACTGTTGGATATGTATACGTGTATACTGCATAGATATGTTTTTTGTTGTATATCTGGGATGCACTCAACGCTTGCTATGACTAGCATTTCAATTACTTTCGGACCAAAAAGTGGAATTAAAACACTCGTAGAGTGATACGTCAAATAGTGGTATGCTTTGAGAGGCTTTCCGGTATTTCATTTCACTTGTATACCCTGTACTCATTTAAAAGCCTCCACAGGGTATGAAACACTTGCCTTTGCTAATGCAATTTCTTATACAGATGATAGATTGTTGAGTATAATCATTTATTTTCTAAAAATAAAATATATATAAAACACTTTTATATAAATTTACTAATAGATTTAAAAATATGACTCTCTTTATGGACTTTATAGATTTTCCTGTATAAAAGACGTAATGAATTTAATTTACTTTTCTTTAAAAAACCCTCAAATTTTCTCTTTGCGATGCGTTGTTCGTTGTTTTTGAGTGTTGCCCGCTGAAAGTCTTTCACTGTAGTAAATAATTGATGGCAGTGAATTTGCAGTGGCATTCGTTTGGTTTGTTTCTAATTTACAAGTGCTGTAAATTTTTAAATAGGCATCTTGACAAATACAACAAGATGCAGAACAATAACAGTAGAGGCAGCAGCAGGGGCATTGCGTTGCCGGAAATGACGTTGTTGGCGAGTGTCGACTCCGGTCTGTGTGTGCATGCGAGTGTGGGCGCAATTGTGTATGCATATATACGTATCTATTTTTTCCGTTGATACATGCAATTTTCCAGTTGAGCTCGTTTTTCATTTCCCTTTTTATTTGTTTTGCATGCGCACCCTCGCTCTCTTTTGCTTATGTTATTTTCTTTTTTCTTGTTGCCCTGTTGCATACTTTTCGGCTGATATATTAACATGGCCGCGAAGGCAGGCTGCATTTCTGGCTCAGTTTGTTGTAATGGCTGTTGCTGCCGCAATTTTCAGTATGCAGTTGTAATTGAATTTCAGTTGGCGTCACATGCTGAAAGGGGCCCCGGCTACAGCTGTTAAGTCGCTCGAATTGAATTCGTAGCACATGTGCCAGTGTGTCTGACTGTCCGCTTGTCTGTCAGTCCGACTGCTGCTACCCGGCGAGTCCAATAGGAATTGGCTCGACGACTGAAAT